GACCACGGGTGCGCAGCTCACTGGCGAGGCGCCCGCAGATGGACGCGACGACGCCGGCCATCTGGCCGGGCGACAGCAAGCCGCCGTTGAGGGGCGTCAGGTACTCTGGCACCATGGAGGCCGCCTGTGAGAGGATGTGTGTGTGTGTGGGGGGGGGGGAGACAAAGAAGTGTGGACGTGCATGTGGAAGTTGAAGAAGAGCATGCAGGGCAGCCGAACACTGTTCCGCACACGGGCAGATCTGGCTCAGGAGGGCGGCGGCCGCGCATGTGCGCGCGCACACGTGGGGGGGGGGGGGGCCTGCGCTGCGCACCACATCGGAGGCGGAGTCCTCGGGCTCCTCCGAGCTGCTGATGTGGACGCCGTGCCCCGCGCCGACAGGCGCCCTGCGGCGCCGGCAGCAACAGCAACGGCGACAGCGGCATGGTTTGACCCGTGGCGAGGCGAGAGCGTTCCCCGCGCGCACAGCTGCACGCCTTGCCTCAGCGTCTGCCTCCGGTGGCAACCGACCCTCGCTTGCCATCCCCACAAGGGCAGCCCTGGGCAGCCCCGCCCCCATCGAATTCAAGACTGCACACATCATGCCGCCTTCGCAGGTGCAGGGCCGGCCCCGTCTCCCCCATCCTAAGAACCCACCTGTTCAGGTTTTCCTCCAGCACCGGGCGCGCCACGCGGCACGAGCCCTTGAGCCCCAGCGTCAGCAGCGCGTGCCGCGCCGCGCCGGAGCCTGCCGCCCTGGCCGCACCGCGGAACATGAGCGCCTTGTCCCATACATTGACCAGGTGGGCCACCAGCGCCTGGGGAGGAGTCGCCGCAGGTGGAGGGGCGAGGGGAGGGGCTGTTCTGCCAACAGGTCAACGCGAATGGAATGGGTGGACGGCCCGCTTTTGCCGAGGGAGGGAGGGGTGAGGGGGGGGGCCGCACGCATGTAGACAGGATGGGTCATGTCTCATGTGACAATCGCAGCTGCCCGGACGGCGACACGCCGAGCAGGGCCGGACGCCCACTGGACTGCCCCGCTTCAGGACGCCTCTCGGGGACGGAGGCGGCACCTACCAACAGGGCGTGCCAGCCGCGGCCGCGCGCCCGCCCTCGTTGCCCCAGACCACAGACTGTGGCCGGCGCGCCCAGCCCTACGGCGCGCCGCGACCACCCGTAATGACTAACCTGCGCGAGGATGACCACGTCCACGTCCACGTAGGGCCCGCCCAACGGGTCCAGCCCGCGGTACACCAGCCACCCGATGAGCAGCAGCTGAGGCCCCGATTGGAGGGCCGCCTGCAGCGCCAGGCGGCTGAACTTGAAGTTCTCTGCGGGACGGCGTAATGCGGTGGTGGCGGGCAGCGGATGCCGCATGTATGTGAGTGGGGGAAGAGAGAGTGTTCAGGGGAAGGAACGAAGACAGGGAAGGGGCAGCAGGCTGCCAGCAGCACGTCGACCCCCAGCCCCGCCGCTGACCAGGCCCAGGCCCCACGAGCCGTCGGCCTCCAGCCCCGCCGCTCACCTTTTAACCCCCCAACCCCCC